GTAGCGTTCTTGCTCCTAGTAGTAAGGCCAGGAGCCCCTAGTAGCGTCCTTGCTCCTAGTAGCGATGCCAGGAGCCCCTAGTAGCTTTGTTTTAGTTGACTTTTTCAAATTTGTTCTCAATGACAGTTTTACAGAGTGTGCCAGTTGCAAAGTACAGCGTGTGCTTGTGGCATCTTGTGGCCGCCTGTGACCGAGTACTATGTCGATGGGGAGAAGCCCAGCCCTTTGAAGGAACCCGAGCAAAAGGCCTGGATAATTTGGAGATAGGTTCAGATGGATATTCATTTCATTTCATTTCAGCGTTTAATGTGTCGTCATACTCATGTATTATACCAAGTTTTGAAACTCACGAGCTGACCCGATCGGTCGATCAATATACAGTTACAGCTTTGATGTGAGTGATGCTTTCTTTTTGTGTGCTGCTACCAGAGCTTGATTTCGACATGAAATGGCGAACGGCTGGTTGTTGTATTGTGCGGCAGCTCTTGGTTCCGTGTTGACCAGGCAGAGAACAAGCCCGGACATCGACCAATCAGCTCATATCAATTGCCCAAATGGGTCTACCATCCTGAGCGAGTGAATCGAAGGAGCACCTGCAGAGTACGAAGTGTTTGGATGCGGCAGACTAGAGGTCTTTAGAACAGTACAGTATAGTGGCAGAACGTTGCTCCTAGTAGCGTTCTTGCTCCTAGTAGTAAGGCCAGGAGCCCCCAGTAGTGTCCTTGCTCCTAGTGATATCACTTTTTTGAACATTAATTTGTCATGCTGAGTACTTCGAAGAGTTTTGCCCGTTGCTTTCATTTGGATGGCACATGCCGAATGCGTTTAATGAACCCCAAGAAACTTTCACAAGAGACCAACAGAGACCATGCCGAACATGACATGTGACCCTTGCTTCTTGGAAACATATGAGAGAAGTCGTGGTCGACCCTTCTGATTAGTGCTTCGCAGTGCGTTTTTCGCCGCAGGATTGTGATCAACAAGGAGGACTATTTTGGAATGGCGGCCGATGGTCTTCGAAACTTCGACCTTTGGAACGTGGCTCATGTGGTCGGGGCGCTTTGATACGTGTCACGTGTGACATGTTGCAAGCGACTTTTCGACTGTGCTTGTCTTGTACCGATGCGCTCAGGCTGCGTACCATGACGACTTGAAACTTCTTTCTTTGGCTTAGACCTGAGTGGGATTCGGAGGAGCAATTGGAATGGAGGCATTTCAAAGAGCTTGCGCTAACTGAAACATGTGATAGCAGAGTGAGGAAACCAATTTCAATTTGCTCGACTTGAAAAACAGCACAAATTCTTTGATGTCAGCCTAGTAACTTCAGGCCACTCAAGATGGGCTGAACTGAAAAGCTGAAATTTGCAAACCCTGCTTGCTTCCCTCAAGGCAACTCTGGAGCAATGCAAAGAGCCAAATAGGTGCGCCGAAGCAACTTGCTGACTAGCATGTTACTGGCAGCAAATAGGGGCTCCCGGCCTTACTACTAGGAACAAGAAGCTACTAGGGGCTCCTGGCATCGCTACTTGGAGCAAGGACCCTATACTTTCGTTTTCACAGCTCCTCAAGCTCCGTGCTTGCCTGGTGCTTGTTCGAACCGCGATTCCCCAAAGCTTTATTGCGCATGTTTGCTTTCCTTGCCTACACTTTGTCACGCCACTGAATCCCAGGTGGGGAATGACTCCAATGCACATGACTGGATTGGGCCAACATCCTTATGGTCACTTTGACATGTTTTCCCAAAGAGAGCCGCTCGGGAGCTTCCATGTTGGAGGCCATCGCTCTTAGGTTGGAGGCCATTAGTAGCGAGAAGCTACTAGGTTGGAGGCCATCGCTATTAGATTATCCACATCTGGAAGCATCGGCCAGGCCCTTCCCTTTGTGTCTTGTGGGAGCTCATTCAACTGGGAGCAGCAGACCCCGAGGCAAGCAATGTGGTTTGAGAGGTTTTCCAGCCAACTTTGGGATTTGCACCATGGGCACTGGACACTTGTTTGTTCCAGCTGTGCTATGTTGTGTTCTTCTTTGCTTGAACACCCCACGGGAGGCTTTGAACTCTGCAGATCAAAGCGCATGGCATATTGCGCAGAGGATGCAGAAGCCTTCTCATTTAAAGAAGTGGGAGAAGGCTGTTTTAAAGACATGTTCTGCCAAATGCGGTCGTTTTGGTTCTGCACCAAAAAACTCGTTTATGATTGCTTTGAACTTGCAGGTGGTGTTCAAAGGCGTCAAGCCCGATGAATACGAAGCCCGCAAGCAGGCAATGCGTTCAGCGAACGAGTCACCAAGGCACAAAATATGACCGAGCCCCCAAGGCCAGAATAATGCATCTCTGCGGAATCCTTACCAAAGCACATCCCTGCATTGCCTTGAACACTGATCTCGGACTGATAGAAGACACCAAACTTGACAAACATCGAAGGCGTCTCTTTCGACCTTCCAAATGTTTGACCAACTGCCACAATGTGGAACAAGAACGCTACTAGGAGCAAAGGGCATCGCTACTAGGAGCAAGGACGCTACTAGGGGCTCCTGGCCGTACTACTAGGAGCAAGGACGCTACTAGGGACCAAATCCAAGCGGAGATTCTGAGATCTGCCAGGCACAGCTGAGACCGCGTGGGAAGTTTGCCCGAGCGTTGGGCATGGAGCCAGTGCAGCGTGAGGAGCGAGCAAGCAAGATGTTTGAGAACAAATCAGGAACAGCTTTCCAAGCGACAATTCCAACCCAACGATACGCTTGTGCATCGGACGCTTTTAGAGTGCGCAGAAAGGATACTTCGAAGCCTCTGCCAGTTTGCTTGGTTTTTCCAGGCATGAAGGGAATCGAACTTCGGGCACTCTGTCGCCCCAAAGTCACTACCGACTAGTGAGCGACACCAACTTGCGAATACACCAACTTGCGAATACTGGTATTGCACTTCTTTTTATGAGTCTCACACATGTCATCAATGTATGTCAATGTGATATAACTGTTGTGCTTGTCTTGCCAGGGCAAGGCTCCCAGTATGTTGGCATGCTCCGGCAGCAGAAGGACGGGCCTCAGGCTTTACTGCGTGCAATGGTGACCATCTCAGGTCTCGTTTGGATGGAATGATCAAATCGGTCACGTTTGTGAAGATGCTTTCCAGCTCGCGGAACTGCGCAATGTTTGATGGTGGCGACATGTTGAAGGCATTACAATGAGCCGCTGCTGACCAGCAATAAGAAATATATATATATTATATACACATGTAGCTTTGTATTTGTATGCTAAGAAAATGCGTTTAGGCTCGTGACCAGGAGCTTCCTGCCGTTCAGAAGATGTTGGCAACAGCCAAAGAGGTACAAACATGGTGCGATGGTGCAAACATGTGAAATGACTTGGGTCTGTCCTATTACCTGTAACAGTCAGTGAACAACTATCATCATTTTTGAACAAGGCCTTTACTAACCATCATCATCCACAGTTACAGGTATTAGGATAGATCCAAGCCATGACAACGATGAACATGCAGTGATGCAATGTTTGGTGAGCTGCAGTTCCAAGATGATTCCAGCTGGCCATATCTGGTAGGTCTTGGGCTATGACCTAGAAGAGCTCATATCAAAGGGACCCGAAGACAAGCTCCGAGCTTAGAGCATAGAGGCCTACAAGCAACCGACAAGCACCGTTTTGTGGCCTAAAAGAAGATGTCACACGCCGGTCCAAAGGAAGATGTTTGAAAGACTTGTAACGTGTAACTTCTCGTCCTTGGCTTGTGCAAATGTTTGGATGACTGACGAGGTTGTCCCAGACAAAGTATTGCCAACCTGCGATGCGCCCCATAATGATTGACTGTTCACCGTTTCCATAAATGAAGAAACACGTGCACAAAGTGTGATACTTTTTATGTTCATGCACCGTTTTCTGATTTTCTCAAGAATAAGAAGCATTTCTGAGTTTTTGTTGGATACACGCTTGATCCCTTTATTCAAGTGTCCTTGCACCAAGGCTCCATAGGCTCATTGTTTGCATTCAATTTGCATGCATTATTGTTTCCTTGTTTTTCTCAAGGCTCAAGTAGAGACCTGCTGGTCTTCTGGACCAATGGCACCCGACACCTCGAAACAGGAGACAACGCATCTTCTCGACGAGGTGAAAATGCCAAAAAGTTGGCCAGTGATGCAACCGAAACCTACCTGGGATGTCTTCTTCTTATGGCTCTTTGGAGAGACAGAGAGAACATTTTATGTGGTTTGATGAGTTTGATGATGCTGATTTTGCAAAAGACTTGAATATGGTGTAGTTTGGTGGTTTTCTTCTTTGTTTGATCGTTACCAAAGTGCTTCAATGTACCCGGGATGTTTCTCGGCTAAGAAAAACGGACAGATTTGGAGCTTTAGGACTGAACTCCGACCGAATTTGAGGCCTTGTGGATGTTTTGTCCCTTTCCTGGCAATCATTGCGTATTTGCTGATGGTTCTGGTGCTTCTTCTTTTCACCGCTTTGAGCTTGATCGCAGGGCTCTTCTTCGCACTCCCACTCTCCTGTGGATGCTGCCACCTCTACTCTTGGAAGTGTAGCCGCGCTTGGAACACAGATGTTTATCAGAAACTCATTTACTTCTTCTACTACTTCCAGCATCGTGGGATCAAAGACCCCAAAGCCTCCGCAGAATTCATGCCTGTGGAGGGTATGGCCCCTCGTCGGGTGCTGGAGAAGCCAAACTGCAAGCAGAGCAGAGTACTGCGAAGTTTGTTGTAGTTACAGTTCTTTTCAGCCATAAACTGCAAGCGCTGCGAAAGAAAGGAGAGCACTGCAGGCACATTGTTTGTTGAACCCACTTCTTGAAGGCAAACGACTGTCTATTGGCGTGTACTTCAAACCACATTTGTCATCACAGCCCGGCGCCAATCTCCTTCAAGAATGTTGAGTTTAGTTGTCCAGAAGCGAAGTTATTTATGTAAGTTTGTTGGCTTTTCCTTACCCCCAAAAGAACTTGAAGGAACAGAGTAATTAACTAGTCGGGGAACCTCTCCACAACAGAAGTCTGAAACCCGCGAACAATCACTCCAAGCTTTGCGTCGACCAATCAAAAACCTGGACATTTGTCAGATTTTTGGCAATCCGACATCACACCGGTGTCGCCCCAGTGCTTGCCTGAGCCCCTCTCAGCACTCCGCTCAGCGGGTTTCGTTTTTGCGACGAGATGACACCATCTCGCCACGAGCTAGGAATTTAATTTCGACTGCATGAACACCTTCTTCCTCAGGGAATTCACGGTAAGAACTTATGCAATGCGTGCGCTTCCACCGTGTCTACACAGCACGTGCAGCTTTGGGACAAAGCAGCCCTTACACACGACAGCCCTTGCGTGCACCAGCGTTTACACGCCACTGCTGTTATGCAAACCAGCGTTCACACACCATAGCTCCTTGCAAGCCAGCGTTGACTCAGCGCAGCCTTTATGCAAAGCGGTGTTTACAAACCGCCACGGGTGCCAGACCCCACCGCATGCTGTACCAACCCCTCGCGCGACCCCGGCCGGCCACTCTTTTGCGGCGCGCACCCTGACACGACACTGGGCAATTTTTTATACACCACAAGTGCTACAGAACCCTGCGTCTAGACACCGCGGCTGTTGCATATTTCCATGAAAAGCAGTGTTTACACTCCGCAATTTCTACACAAAGCACAGCTTACGCAGCACACGTTTACACCGCAACATTTGCGCGCCCCCCCGCCCGCCGCGATATCCACTGTCGAGGTATCACGCCAAACCACGCCACAAGCTCTTCCAACCCCTCACGACCACACCCTGGTAAATCTCCATCTTTCGTGTTTTCCTTTCTCAAGTCTGATCACCTGCCTAAAAACCCTGCGTGCCAAGAGACGTTTTGTAATTTTTTAAGCAGAGTGCAGGAGATGCAGTGACTTCGCAGGGTTGCTTGCAACATCCGGACTTAGACCCCGTGAACATTTTACAACTTCAAGGGGGTCGAACAAAACTATCCAACAATGCAGGTAAACAATTTGTGAGAAGGTCCAAGAATAGGGTGATTATCCAGACATACCTAAAGAATTTTTAACAGGGTCCACAAACAGGGTGATTATCATTCACTCCTCTCAGCCTTGTCTCGATCATGCACATTGTATAGTTTATCGTGCATAATCACTCTATTTTTGGACCTACAATTTCAAAGGGGGTCGAAACATATATACATAGATCCAACGATGCTTGCAATGTATCAAAGGGTCCGAAAATAGAGTGGAATGATTATAATAGATACTTCCTTCACCCTCTCTTTGAGAGCCACTGGTGCGGGCGGTTGTCCTCGCGAAGCGACTTGAATACTTGTTTTTCTTCAAGGAAGGCTGAACTGCACTTTTCCAACGTGGTTGGCCAGTTTGATGCGGCTCTTTTTAATCCTTAGTCTGTCGGGGTCCACAGTGAAAAAGCACACCAGGATGTTGTTTTGTACCTTCCAAGGAAACAATACTTGGATTATGGCCTCAATATCCAAGTGCCCAAGGGTGCGGAAGATCAGTTTTTGGAGCATCTCGGCTAATATCTCGATCGGACGCCGCATACCGTACAAATCAACCAAAATCCCTTTTGTAGAGAAAGGCAGTACCTTTTGACATGTCTCAATGCTGTAATCCACCTGCAGGCAGTACCTTTCTCCAAAGCTCCTGGAGAACTTCATTGAAGATCGGATGCATTGGCTGCCAAGACATGAGCACTGGAATGAATTTGGGCCAGACGAGAATCCGGTCGATTTTGTGATGAACCAGCTTTCAGCTGTTTATCCACATGTCTACCAGGACAGAAGATGTGCATGTGTATTTTGCATGTTGAAAAGCATTAGACAGGGAGTTTATATAGCGATTTGAAGTATTAGGAACTGGTGGTTGCCTAGTTTTTCCACATTCGGAAGTTTAGCCAGTTGGAGTAGAAACATTACATGTTGGGCTTGTTTTGCGGTATTTCGTGGCACAGGAGTGGTTAGACAAGCACAGCGATGAGGCTTTAACCCGCTTCTGCCTCTATGGACTCGGAGCACATCGTGTGGAGGTGGAAGTCGTCGATGGCAAGAAGCACTTCGTGGTGAGGACCAATGCCTTATCCGGATTGCCGGTGCGTCATGGATTCGAAAGATATGGAGGTGATGCATACTTTAGCGAGGATTGGCGTCCTGTGATGATTGTTGACCAAGGCCGTGGCGATTTGGTGGAAGACTTTCACCAGAAACAGTTCATCGCTCGACCAGGAGATGAAGAGTGGGAACGAACTAAGTTTCGCTTTCGCTCCTCCTTATTCTCCTTGGTGACCATGGTGGATCACCTATACTTTGTTCATTTGCAATTGGCCAACTTGTTCGTCACATCTTTGCGTGAGCAGATGTCGGAATCCCATCCAATCCGACGCTTCATGACACCCTTTACCTACCAGACCATCTCCATCAATGACAATGCGGCACACAACCTTGTAGCACCTCGAACGATGGGGCCACGTTGCTTTGCACTGACTGACAAGGGCTTCGAGCTGGCTTTCTCCGCAGCACCATCTCTTCAAGTTTGGGGATATGAAGTGCCAAAATCACAAGGTGGGCCGTGCTTGCACCTCAAAGACTACTTCGCCTACAAGAAGAGCACAGGGGTGGATACAGAGTACTTTCGTCAAGCTTCTCAGCTCTATGACATATTTTGCAAATTTGTCACCTCCTACCTTGAGTGCTACTATGCCAAAAAGGAAGATCTTGTTCAAGATCAAGAACTTGTTGCAATGGCCCAGCACTACTTTGCTCGATATGAGGCAGTTTCTGCACATGCATTGGGAAGGATTCGAATGCCTTGGATTCAAGCACCCAACAATGATGAGGATGTATGTGCAGCTTATGACTTCTACGTGAATTGGCTCGCAAGTCTTGTGTGGATGGTCACAGCAGGGCATGAACAAATGGGTGCTGTTGAAGTTTATGCTCAAGATGCTTCATGGACGGCCTTCAAGTGGACACATGGATCGGCGTGTGGAACCAAGCAGACGGCGACTGCTCAGGCCTTGTTGATGTCATTCACATCAACTCCGATGCCGAAACTCATGGGAGAGGATTGGTCCCATCTTTTCCCAAAAACAGCTGTCTTGGCAAGTCCAGAGAAGAGCCCAGAAAGTGCTTACAAGACCTTTCAGCAGGAGTTGGCCACAATGGCTGATCAGTGTGACAGATTCAATGCAAATGCAAGAACCAGAACCTTTCCTGAATGTTTCCCGATGTACACCAACAACCCTCGTGTGCTAGAAAGTGCTGTCAGTGTGTGAACGTTCTGAGTAGCATCCCTTCAATGAGCGCGGGTTGATATCCGTTGCGCTCATATTCATATTGGTTTGACTTTCTTTGACTGTTCAGAGTTGCTTCTGGTGCTTTGGAGAGAGCTTCATACATATATTTGTGAAGGGACTCCTTAGAGCGAGGATAGGACAGTGACAGTCCATTCTGCAACAAGCAGTGAGGTCTTCAAAAAAGATCCAAATCTCATTTTGCACTGACTCTTTCTCTGGTTCGTCAAACGACCCTGGACGAGTCAGCTCCTTCGGAGTTTTCGCCCGGCTTCCGTCATCTAGATTGAGATGGAACGGTCGCAATTCGCCCAACCAAAGACTGACCGTGACTGAGCTTGGCGAAAAAACGCATACAAAAGCTCGTTGCAAGACTGTGGTGATCTTTCGTGTCAGCAAGAAATCTCCATGTTTGTGATCCCAAATGCACTCTGCCAGGTACATCGCCAACCTGGCAGCAATGGAGCAGTCAGCGCCTCAAATGATTTGGCAGAAGCGGTTCCACGCTTCCATACGGAACAAAGTTTCGAGTTCGAAGCCACTAGAGGTTCTAGGTTTCGGACGCTGCGATATTTGATAGTTTCAGTTTTATGTGGATTGAGATGTCTTAGGCCTCACTGCCCTACACATGGCTGGTTAAATTCATGTCTTCATTTGGCATTTGTGGTCCAATCTGCAGAAATCAAAGACGACTCTGCTAAGCCTCTAAGCCTAGTGATCTACAGACTTCTTCTCTGAGACCGAATAAAGGCTCGATCAATTGTGGTTCTTGGTTCGCTTCCAAGATGTTAGAGAGGCCTGTTTGCTCCCTTTTAGAAAGGTGGGTGGGTGACTTGTGGTCGTCAATACGCACGAAAGAAGCCAGGCTGAAGCTGGAGGAAGAAGAAAAGGTAAGCAGATGCAGAGCTGTTGCTGGCTTGGAAGCCCAAGACTGGCAGCCAGGGAGCAGACGCGTAGAAGGGTTCACTTATCTCCGAGACTGCAGCCATGATTCTCAACTTTTCATACCTCACTACAAGCATCCACAAAACTTCAGATAACCAGTATTATATTATAGCATATTCAACTCTGTAGTCCTTTCCTGTCTTTCTTTTGCAAGCGGTTCACTTCTTTGGGATGAAGTATACGCGTGAACGATCATCGAACACATGCAAATAAATCCAAAGCATATTCAGGGCGCCTCGTTGAAATGCTTTTGGCTGCACCCGATTCCATGACCGGAATGAAGAGGGGCCATGTGTGCCGTGAGCTTACCATCACAATGAAACACCTGACAAGGAGCAAGGGGCAAGTGGCGGATGGGCAATGTTTGCGGCTTTAGCACTTTAGCTTTGTTTCTTTCTGGTCTGAACGCGATTTTGGGCAAGTTGAAGTAAGAGCAAATCATATCAATTCATCCATGCGATTTTGAACATGGTGATTCGCTTGCACCCCAGTGAGATGTTGGTTGAACTTGGACAGTTAGGTGCAACTATTTGCAGTCCAGATGGTATATCTCGTGATCGTCATTCTTGTGGCCTTCTGACCAAGGAGGAGACAGTGGCAGCTGGCACTTGAAACCTTGCAGCAACAGCTGAACATTTCTGGCTTTCGTTGTGACATGCTGCTCATGACCCTTGACTAAAAGGCTGTGATGCCACTTTAGTGCCGTGTGGACATTCCAAACGAGAACACTTTCAAGAAAGAAGCTACTAGGGGCTCCTGGCATCGCTACTAGGAGCAAAGAAGCTACTAGGGGCTCCTGGCCTTACTACTAGGAACAAGGACGCTACTAGGGGCTCCTGGCCTTACTACTAGGAGCAAAGAAGATACTAGGGGCTCCTGGCCTCATTACTAGGAGCAAGGACGCTACTAGGGGCTCCTGGCCTTACTACTAGGAGCAAAGAAGCTACTAGGGGCTCCTGGCCTTACTACTAGGAGCAAAGAAGCTACTAGGGGCTCCTGGCCTTACTACTAGGAGCAAAGAAGATACTAGGGGCTCCTGGCCTCATTACTAGGAGCAAGGACGCTACTAGGGGCTCCTGGCCTTACTACTAGGAGCAAAGAAGCTACTAGGGGCTCCTGGCCTTACTACTAGGAGCAAAGAAGCTACTAGGGGCTCCTGGCCTTACTACTAGGAGCAAAGAAGCTACTAGGGGCTCCTGGCCTTACTACTAGGAGCTACTAGGGGCTCCTGGCCTTACTACTAGGAGCAAAGAAGCCACTAGGGGCTCCTGGCCTTACTACTAGGAGCAAAGAAGTTACTAGGGGCTCCTGGCCTCACTACTAGGAGCAAAGAAGCTACTAGGGGCTCCTGGCCTTACTACTA